AAAACCCTAAAAAACTATCCAAAATAGTGCTCTCTACGCTAACGCGAAATAACTTATAACCTACCATAACATACCTTTGCTAACGCAAATATTTCTTAAAGAATCTTTAAAAAATATTTCCAGGTTTAACTAAATCTTAATTATTTTGCGGAAACACAAAGCATACTAGTTTGAATCTGGTCTTAATAATTTAGCAGAAACACGACACTCCGGTTTAATTTTGGCTTAATAATTTACCTGAGCCCTATGACACATCGATCCGAATTTCGTCTTAATGATTTAGCGGAATCTCAAATCACTCGCGTCCGAATTTTAGCTTAATAATTTATCGAAAAATCGATTCATTTAGGTTCGATACTTGGCTTAATTTATTAATAATTTAATTTATTTTCTTTAATTTGTCAAAATTTAATTTGTTATCAGTTCAAGAACAAACATGTATGCATAAAAAATATTTGCGGGGAGATGGTATGTCGTATATAATACGACATAAGAAGTTATAAAGTACATTAATCAAATAGTGTATATAGGGTGTTCGTAGGGTATATATAACATATATAGAGCATAAAAAAGTATATATAACATATATATAGAGCATAAAAAAGCATATATAACATATATATATAGCATAAAAAGAATATATAACATATACAGAGCATATAAATATTACATTTTGAAATATATCAGTTTAATGTATCAATATCATCAAGAAATAATCCGACGAGGAGGAAGCCTGCCGAGTCGAAATTTCAATTGGCTGTTGTTATGCAAGAATGATCCAATTAAAATAATTATAAGCTTTTATCAGTGGATACTCTATTTTCATGTTTTTAATCCAAACGAAAACAGTCAAGCCTTATAGATGCTTGAAATGAATTAAGAAACAGTTTTCTTATTTTTTACCAGTCGCGTCTTTTTGCATTTTTTTCTAAGAATTGAGCTAGTCAGTACTCTTAAAGAAATGAAAGTGCTTGACTCGTTGAAATATTGCGAAAATCTCAGTGTTAAATTCTTTGGTTACATCATTCTTACGTAACTCCGGCGAATTGCAAATTTCAATTCTTACTTTACTTCCCGTCGGACCCAATGCGATTTACGTCTACGTGCATGCAATCTACGTAAAGTGACGCTTTGTGTCTACTATATGAGCGTCTAAATTGTGCGCTCACCATTGCGCGTCGTCCCACGGTGTCCAGGGTCCACCAGCCATCCTGTCGTTGCATCTGACATTGCAATGGCCCTCGCGACCCACGTCGCCTGTAATTCACTCCCGTCCGCGGTAATCTAACGGAGGTTTTACGAAAAATCCCGTCTATCTTGGGAGATACTCTGAGTTGCAAATTGCATATAAAATATCGCGAACTGCGTCTTCGAGGAAATGTCGGCCTTTCGAATAAACGACGAGAGTGTGCGACGAATTCAGCAACAGTCCAATCGAGTTATAGTGTACCGCTTTGATACACGCGCGACGCGAATCTCTTACGAAAAAAACGTAATCCGCGAGCGAAGGGAACACGCGAATCGAAGGCTAATCTCGCGAAATCTTTTGATACGTGGACGAAGTAATCTGTGCAAAATTTTCACGTACGACACGGAGTATCCCTAATGTAACGTTTCACGGGTGCAGTGTAGTAGGCTGCAATACAGCTCCGCAATATTTTTTGCGGATAACAACTCCGCAATATTTTTGCGAAGACAATTCCGCAATGTTTTTGCGGATTACAACTCCGCAATACTTTTGCGAAGGCAATTCCGCAAGATTTTTGCGGGTAACAGCTCCGCAATATTTTTGCGAAGACAATTCCGCAATGCTTTTGCGGGTAACAACTCCGCAATATTTCTGCGAAGTTCGCTCGCGACTCTTCCGCAAATACGATCCGGTGAAATTCTCAAACCTATCAAATTAATAATTTTGAACGCGAGCGTGAATGAAAAATTAAAAACTATTTGTGACGATAGAGATAAAGATTCTATTCAAAATTCACTCGAAATGCAACGAAATCAAAAGTATTGAAGTATATTCAAAATTCACGCGCAAAAAATTTTACTGCGTGAGACGTTTGTCTTCGTTCGATGGAACTTGTTGCGCGCCGCGTAAGTAAACAAACAACTATTCGCATATCTGACTTGTGTACATCGCGTTTTTCGCGAGAGATCAACGCTCGCTAGCATTGTCTCTATTGTGTCCCGCGTTAGGAAACTTTAACTCTAAGTGAAAAATTGAAACCTGAAAATTTTCTGACGATCGTGAAATTAATTTTACGGGCACTTTATTTAATCACGTTAGATCGCTTTGCGCAGGTGCTGCACGATATCGAATTTTACTTAATAACGAAGCATGAACTCTACTTTTTAAAATGCAATCGCGATTCAAGCTTACACGAGAGAGAAAATTGAAAAAATTAACGACTGACGGAAGATCTATGACGCAGATGATGTGATTGCGCATTTTCTGTGGCGCATTTGCGCGTTGGCGCACTGCTCGAGACACTTGGAAGATCGCATTCAACAAAATATAATAATTTTTCAAAATTTTGAATGTTCTGAGCGTATACTCAATACTTTAAGCTTCTACCAGATAGTGTTGGGGTTTGATTAATCAAAATTTCCTTCGACAAAAATCATCGATCAATCAATAATCTAAGTTAATCATTAATAAATATATATACATTGGGAGAAAAATGCTTGAAAATTTATTTGCCCAATTTATGTAAATTATGCATTATTACTAATAATATTATTTGGAAAAGCGATCTTCCAATTGTTTCGAGCAGTGTGATTTTCATTGGACGGCACGTACACATACTACAACTACAGCAAAGTAAATCGCATTGATTCGATAAGCATGCACTACTACGAGAAACATTTTATCTTTCTATTATCAATGTTTTGACTCACCAAACCGCCGATCAGGGTAGCCACATTCTGCATTCGTTTCTGGAACAGAAAAATGCCATTTCGTCGATTAGATTCGTGCATTAGTTACGATTTGAGTGAAGAAGATTGAAGGATTAAAAAAAAGGAAAACGCGATATTTTTTACGCTGGAAGAATTCTTCGGAATACATTCACACTTGGAATATTCCACTATTCTTTTTCTCGACGTTGCAAATAAATCTCTTAATCAAAACAAATAAAAATTTTTCAAGTGGTGATGTTACTCAAAAATAATTTTTCCCGCGTGTAATAACGATTTAACGCGATCTTTGACTCGATTAAAATTATCTCGATTTCGACCAAACGAAATATCAATCTTGTCGGATTTCTAATAATAAATACTAATTAATAAAGCTCACCTTCGAGCTAACCCCGCTCGGCCCGAGCCAAATCCTCCGGCGCAGCAGCCCCTAAGAGTCGGCTGGTCGTCTGCTTCGTCTCTGTAACAGAAAGCAAATTTAATTTATTATTACACACGACAATGGAGACATTAAAAAACTTGATTCTAAACAAGAGAATTTCCACTTTTATCGGATTTTTAATTACGAATTCAACTAAGTGAAACTCACCTTCGCGCCAACTCTGCCAGGCCCGAGCCGGATCCTCCAGCGCAGCATCTCCTTAGAGTCGAATGCTCGTTTCTGTAACAAAAAGCAAATTTAATTTAGTGTTAATTCGTTACATGACAATGGAGGCATTCAGGAACTCGATTCAAAGTAAGAAAATGTTTAGTTTTGTCGGATTTTTAATTACGAATACAAATCAATGAAGCTCACCTTCGAGCCGACTCAAACAGGCCCGAGCCGAATCCTTCGGCGCGGCATCCCCCAGTCATCGCATCCTCTAGAGCCGCGTGACTGCGTCTTCTCTATTAGATCTCTGTAACAGAAATTTAATTTAAGTTAGTATCAATTAGTAATTTAATAAATTAGTATTAACTAGTTACACACGACAGCAAGACGAAGAAAAGAAATTGTTGTAACGGCACGTTCGAGTTCCTTCTCAATGCGCAATAAAAAATAATTAAACGATAGCCGAATAAAGAAATAATAACACATGATTAATTAATAGATAATAATAATAATGTCTGATCGACAACCGCATAATAATATCCAGTAATATCAATTAATTACATACAGAATTGTTCGATAAAATCAATGCCGATCAAATATTATCATCATCCGTTTATTATTCCAGTATTATTAGTTTTTTATTCGGTTGTTATTTAACCATTTTTATTACATATTGAAAAGTAACTCAAGTTAAGTTGGTTCAACCTGAGTTGCTTCCCAATACGTAATAAAAATAGTTAAATGACAGCCGAATAAAGAACTAATAATACTCGAATAATATTTGATCGGCAGTAAGGAATTTGATCGTGACGTTTCTCTAACAAGTAAATGTAACAAGAAGTAAATGAAACGCAGTAATTACCTGCTGCGGTAAAGCCCGCAATACCTGTTCGTGTGATAAGTACGCGTCTCAACTCGTGTTAATTATCGGCTTGAATGTGCCGAAGTTAAAATGCGGTATTAAAAATCGGCGTAAAACAGTTTAGAAAATAACACGGCAGTTTCGCGACGCGCTCGCCTCGGCGGCTGATAGCGTTGTGGCGTGACTCCCAAGCACGTGCTCGCGCACGCGTGTTTACCTAACCGGCCGCGCGTCACCCCCCCCCCCCCCAACGCGCCGCTCAGTCATCGGCACGAGCTGGCACGAGCTAGCCCGTTACGACGATTTGTTTACTTAGTCTCTGTTGAGCCTAGAGTTTCTGTTAGAGCCGTTGCCCAGGTATTGTTATTACCGATTATTCGATCATCATTCTTTCGTTATTATCCACTCGCGGATATTATCACACGATTGTCGAGTAGATATTATTATCAATACCATTAAATATTCGAGTATTATTACTTCTTTATTCGATTATTATTTAATTTATTCGGTTATTATTTAATTATTATTATTACGCATAGGAAAGCAACTCAGGCATGCCGTTACGACAATTTCTTCAAAATTTTTCTGTTTGGAGCATCCACACTTTCGGCATGTGCAAGTTGCGGAATTTTTGGATTAGGTAAATATTACGTTAACTGATAGCTTGAGATTTAAATTAAAAATTTTTTGTTCGTTTTCGTCACATATCGAGCAATGCTTCTATTAATTTTTGCACGCACTTTCATTGCATAAAAACATTTGTAATTCTGTGTAACCAATACGACGTAAACTTTGCAGAAAAATGTCAATATTCTGTCGGTTAAGTTTTTAGCTTCAGCATTTCTTTAAGCGAGTCGATGTTAATGAGAAATGCAATAGACGTCGCGACAAACAGTGGCTGTGTCAAAAATCAAGATTACTTTCTGATATGACGCTGGTGTCACCTTGTAAGGAAGGCTCGTTCGCCAAGGCGGATGTAATAATGATGACTCTCTTTGTTATAACAAATGCCGTTTATTGTTGTCTCGGATGCAATTCGATGTGAGGCAGGCGATAGGCGATACGCGCGATATAATAATCGATGCACTTGTTCCAAAGCGTATCTCGGTATCTTACAATTTGCTCGACGTTAAGAAGGTCTCGCTGCTAATAACGAAAAAAAGAAAGGTATCTGGCCAGCAAACGAGACTTCTATTGCGTTATGGGTCGCGCCTTGTTAACCGAAAGAAAACAACAATAACTGTTTCGGGAAGCGGATTTCGGTAATTTATTGTGGCGAGACAAAGACGATATCCGACGATAACCACGTTGTTTTTTCTCGCGTCGCGTGACTCGTTCTCACACGGCACGAAGAATTATTATTGTTGATATCAACATCGCGGTTCGTACAGGAGATATATACGCGTGGTTTGAACGGTATCGATGTGCGATTGCTTTGTTGTCCTGGAGAATATTTACTTGACGATGATTCCGAAACACTTTCTAATAACTCACGATACATCCCGACGATTGCACATCGCTATTTCGGCACTCCCGATATTTATTTCCGCAAGTTCACTTTCGATAGACAAAAGATACGTAGAACGCGGAGCGATGTCGATCGCGATGTGCCAGTGGAGACTGCCGTCACGAAAATATCGATGTACAAGACGGACACGCAATCGACGACGCAAAGTGCCGAAAGTGCGCGCCAGAACGTGAACGATGTCGCGGTTCGATAAGGACACGCTCTAACCTCTCTCAAGCTAGCAAAATCAAATGAGCAGAATCGAATTGGACCTATCGCATTTCTTAATAATCATTTTGTACTATTTTGTACCACAAAAAAAATTTGTACCACATG